CTTTAGGCAGAACACCCTTACCTATTCCTACTCAGAAATTTAGTGAGGTCTCAAAAATAGAACAAAGGGAAAAGGAAAGGTTGCAAAGGGAGGAAGAAAAAGACGTAGAAAAAAAAAAAGAAATCCGCTGAAAAAGATCCTTCCCTTTTTTCCGAAGAAAAAGGTATTTTGGAAAAAGAATTGGACTTGAAGGTAAATGAACCAGACTTGGAAGGGTCTGATTCCGAATTGGAAATCCTTGAAAAAAATGAAAATAAAGAACATATTGTGGCTCTTCTTTTTGATTATAAAAGATGGACTCGCCCATTTCGTTACATAAAAAATAATAGACTTGAACAAGCTGTAAGAAACGAAATGGCACAATATTTCTTTGACATACATAAAAGTGATGGAAAAGATAGAATATCTTTTACCCATCCGATAAGTTTATCAACGTTTTTTCAAATAATCAAAACAAAGATACCCCTTTTGTCACTAGAAAAAGATATTTCTAATACATTGGACAATTTTTGGGTTTCTAGAAACAAACAAAAATTAAATTCTATAAAAATTGATTTGCTAAATCGAATTAAAAATCTTGACAAACCAGTAGCAGTTCCAATAATCGAAATTGAAACAAACAAAACGCGATTATGTATACACAATGATGAGACTAGAAAAGAATACTTACCAGAAAAGTATGATCCCTTGTTAAATGGGCCTTCCCGCGGAAGAATAAAAAAAGATATCACGTCGATAAACGATACTTCGATCAAAAAGTTGAGAGAGAAGGTTATGCTAAATAGACTTCATGCTTTATTGTTGATGTCTACTTTTGAAAAAAAGGAAAAAAAACCATTACAAGTTGGTGAGTTCTCAACTTTATCATCAAGTTTCAATTTAACGGATTCAGAACAACTAACAAAATTTTTAGTAAATGCAATTGAGACAGACGATAAAAAATCTTCTGCAATAGAAAAAATAGGTAAAGAAGAAATTGGTAAAAAAGTCCCCCGATGGTCATACAAATTAATAACTGAATTGGAACAAATATCGTATTTTACAAATCCACCAGATGATCATGATATTCGTTCAAGAAAAGGGATCAGTGTATTAATTTTTGAAGAACCTAAGACTCTCAAAGATAAGACTACAAACAAAGATAAGAATACAAAAGATACAAATATTCAAGCTATAAAATCCGACGATAATGAGAAAGATAAAAATATTAAAAAGAAAAAGGAAGATGAGGATAATAAGCTTTTTTTATTACGATATCCGCACCAATCTGATTTTCGCCAAGGCTTAATAAAAGACTCTATGCGAACTCAAAGACGTAAAATAGTTATTGAGGGACTTTTTAAAGCAAATGCGCATTCCCCTCTTTTTTTTGACAGGATGAGGAAAAAAAACCTTTTTTTCTCTACCATACCTGGCTCAACTGAAACGGCTTTTTAGAAAATGGTCATCCATAAAAGAGTTTGGGATTTTAGAATCTACAGAGGAAAAAAAAATAATAATAAAAAGAGAAACCAAAAAGGAAAAAAAAACGACGAGAGGAAATAGAACGGTTAGAGATAGGGGAAGCCTGGGAGACTTTTCCATATACCCAAATAATAAGAGGTTTTTTATTAATAACCCAATCAATTCTCAGAAAAAAGATTCTATTACCTTCATTCATAATCGGTAAAAATATCGGGCGTATGCTACTATTTCAAACTCCTGAATGGTCTGAAGATTTAAAGGGATGGAATAGAGAAACGCATGTGAAGTGTACTTATAATGGTATTCCGTTAGCTGACAAAAAATTTCCGGAAAATTGGTTGACAGAAGGTATTCAAATCAAAATTTTATTTCCTTTCTGTCTCAAACCTTGGCACGAATATAAATCGCTAAATTCTCGTGATGACTTTTGTTTTTTAACAGTTTGGGGAAGGGAAACAGAACACCCTTTTGGTCATCCACGACAAAAACCTTCGTTTTTTAAGCCTGTTTTTAAGGAACTTTACAAATTTGTAAAAGTAAAAATTAAATTTTTAAAAAAGTTTTCAAAAAAAAACACAAGTTCAAAAGAAACAAGAACAATACACCCGAGTGTAATAAAAAATGAAAAAGATGATCTAATAAATAACCAGATAATGAATCAACCCTTGAGTAAAATTGAAAAAATTACAGATTGGAAAAATTATTCACCGATAGACAAAATGCAGGCTATCACTCATAGGACAAGTACAATTAAAAAAAAACTAGAAAGAATTACGGAAGATAAGAAAAGGGTCACTCTAGAACTTGATATGAACCCTTACAAAAAAAAGTTCGAGATTAGCCTTGTCAAAAAATTTTTGTCAAATGTTGAAAAAAAAAAAAAATAGATTAATATATAAATTTAATTATTTTATAAAATTATTTATTCAAAGAATATCTAATTGTATTTTTTTATATACTATATCTATTTGCCAAATGACTCAAAAAGTCTTTGTGGAATCAACAAAAATGAACTCTCTTTCAAATTCAAATATAAAAACGCATAATAATAAGCTTTATAAGGAAAATTCAGAGAGTTTTGGTGATTTATCCAACTTGTCACAAGCATATGTATTGTACAAAATATCAGAAAGGGGTTTTTTGAACGTACGTAATTTCATATCTGTTCTTCAACAAAATGGAACATCTTTCTTGATTAAAAAGAAAATAAAAGACTCATTTCATACACAAGGAATACTTCCATCTGAAGGAATAAAAAAACAACTTAAGCGGCCTAGAACGAGTCAATGGAAATTTTGGTTAAAAGGGAATTCTCACTACGATTTATCTCCTAATTTCTGGTCTGCCTTAAGATCACAAAAACAAAAATGGAGAAATAGGGCGAAT